GTGTGTGTGTGTGTGTGTGTGTGTGACATTTCTAAAATATGAACTGCTGGCAATTAACTAAAATTTAAGAATATATTTGAGGGGGAACAAGATAGGTGTTGGGCTGGATAAGGCTCACGTCCTCTGTAACATGGTGATTGTCCCTTGGGGTCGGCTTTCCTTTGCACAAGGGGCAGGGCAGGGTAAGGGACCCGGGGACACAGGACGGTTTGGGAAGCAGACTGCCTGAGGGCTCTGGAAGTTCCAGAGGGCTGCGGAGCTTCTTAGAAGAGTCATTCTCCAGCTACCCTTCAAAAAACCCACAGCCTTTAGATTTAGATCCCCCCACCTCCAATTTCTTATCAGCTAGTAAAGTGATGCTATTCCCTGTCCCCTGTGCATTTGGTCCTATTTACGATGCAGTGTTTTTGCCCCAGCTCTATGTGTATTTTCTTAGCTATTGTCTCATCGTTGTTTCCTCAATGCAGTATATGATAGGGATGACACAGGACAGATGCCCCTGTCAGCATGCACCTCTGCTTACGTGACCACCCACAGGGGACGGGGTAGATAGCAAAATTAAAAACCATGCATTTGTTTTCACACACCTCCAGGAAATTTCCCATTAAATAGTTGGCTGTAATCCATCCATATATCCCTTCCTCTTGCCCAGAAATGATTTGAGCACCCCTAAAATCAAAGGGCTGGGACTTGAAGTAGTTTTGGATGCTGGCAAGGACTTCATTAGCTGCTGTTTCATTCTGTAACCTATGCAAGGCACAGAACACAAAAGGCTGAGTGCCTGGACAAGAGAGTCTTCAAATAATTTCACTCAGGTGAAAAGGCAAACCTCCCCACCCCTCCGCTGGCAGGGATGGTTTTCCAGATGTGTGCAAAACTGGCAACCTTCTGCAGGTCAAAACCTCCCAGGCAACCAAGGCAGATGCCCTTGTTACCTGTCACACCGCCAGGCAGACAAACGGCTTTGCGTAAAAACACCCCTTGTTCTCTCCTCCCCTACCTGTTCCTGTCTCGTTCGCTAGCAACCAGCTGATCAAAAGGGCCTTCTGCTCAATCACCATTGCTCTGTCTCAGATCAGCACAGGCAAGGGGGTTGGTGAAGGCACAGGGGTGGCATAAGGAATCCGCTGGGGGCATCATATAGAGGAGCCCTCGCCAGGCCAGAAGGAAGGGGGATCTTTAGGAGGAGGGGGGAAAGAAAGAGGGTTAGGCGTTCAGCAGTCGCTGCTTTGCTCTCAGGGAAGGCTTCATCGTGAGGGTATATAACGGCTATCATGGCCGTCAGTGGATTGGAATCCATCAGTGCGCTGACCCACGGGAAAGTGGAAACATAGTATTCTAATATCACTCATGACGGGGCATTATACTATTGTTCACTGGCTGCCATTTTACCTTATGGAAGCACATTCACTTGGGAGGGTACCTCCCGTTTCATCACGGGGTTAAGAAAACCGGGGCACTGGCTCACTATTGGCTCAAGGAGGAGAAAGAGCCACGCCACAAGCTCAGGTCCATTCTAATTCAGCCACAAGTGATCACTGTTTGGAAAATAATCCAAGAGTCTTCCTAGTTTTATCAGTTCCCCTCCCAGAGGATTCTCATTAAATGCTTTTTTTTTTTTAATAGTTGACTTTTCCCTCAATGGAAACATCAGCTAGATCCTCAGAAGGAATGGATTACCATCAGAAAGTTTTACAAGGAAGAGTTAATATTTAATTTATTCAAATGGGACATTCACTGTTTTCCCAAGTGGTGAACTTTCTATTCCATGGTTTTTGTCAGGGGCTATAAGTCACAGAGTCTTCTAGTTATTCCTCACTGAGAGGAGTGGGAGAAAAAGCAACTAAGAAAAAGTCGGATGCTTTGTTTCCATAAAAAAAGAAAAGGCAGAAGGAAGGCATTTCTGTATCATTTCTTTCAGGTGAACTCAATCATTTTGAAACACCCTGGAGATTCCAAGCGGGGCAAAGAAATGCAACTTTTTCCCACGTTCTGTTCGGTCAACGAGGATAGAGGGATAGAAACAAGGAGAGGAAAACCTCAAGGAACAGGCCCAATCCAACCGAGGGTGCTTCGTGATTTCTTTTAACCATCATGTTAAAGTGGCTCTGTTTGTTTGTTTCTGTGTATCTTCTTTATGCCCACACATATAATTTTATGTTACTGGCACCACAGACAAAGTGGCTTTGAAGCAATATGAGTGTCATCTTTGGGGGATAAAGCCTTATTTTCAAAGTTCAGAGCAGGCTTTACCCTGGGTAGATTTAAGTTTGATTTAACAACAACAAAAAAAAACTATTTTTCTTGGGGCGCCTGGGTGGCTCAGTTGCTTGAGTGTCTGGCTCTTAATTTTGGCTCAGGTCATGATCTCAAGGTTCGTGAGTTTGAGCCCCACGTCAGGCTCTGTGCTGACCATGCAGAGCCTACTTGAGATTCTCTGTCTCCCTCTCTCTCTCTCTCTCTCTCTCTGCCTTTCCCCTGTGAGCTCTCTCTCTCTCTCTCAAAAAGAAATAGACATTAAAGAAAAAGAAATATATTCTCTTAAAAAATAAAAATAAAAACTATTTTTCCTTTATTTCAAGGTCAAGGAGCTACAATAATGGGGGAAAAAAAGAGAGATCGAAAGGGCACTTGAACACAGTGCAACTGGGCTAAAAGTCATGGCTACAAATCTAGAAGGAACTGCTAAATTGAATGAAATGAGCTGTTTGTTTCCTGATAGCTGCAAAGGCTTTGCCTGAGGTGAAGTGCAGAAATTCCACTAATTTTTTTAGAGGGAGAAGAGGGGCAGAGAATCCTAAGCAGACTCCACATCAGTGTGGAGCCTGACATGGGGCTCGATCTCACAACCGTGAGATCGTGAGCGGAGCTGAAATCAAGAGTCGGACGCTTAACTGACTGAACCACCCAGGCGCCCCAGTGAAAAACCACTCTTGTAAAGCAGATTGCAGCGAGATCGTGTACGTGAGTAGACGCCACGTAACTGTGGGTCGCACTCAGGATGGCTGCTAGCACACCGGGGTCAGAAGACCAGGCATCCAAAACAGTTTTTACTTTTCTAAAAAACTAGAGGTATACCCCATGGGATTTCATGTCACCTGCCTTTTTTTCCCCAGAGTTCTCGGGAAAATCACCAAGGTGGAGGGAATCCCTTTTAGAGCAGTCTCTTTCTGGGTATTAAAATAAAGACTAAAAGCGTCCCAACTTTTAAAGCCTAAATTTATGGCAGAATATGGGCTTCTTTCTTTCGGATTTGTCCCCAGGCAGAGAGTTACATTCTTGGCAAGGCTCAACACATTCTTGATTTCGGTCAGATGGGCTCCGTGGGGCCACCCCAGCCCTTACCTCAGCAAGCGCATCCCCGCCGTGGCCCCCAGGTAAATGCGGGTGGATCTATGGAGGTGGGCTGGAATCTGCCCCTGGACTTTTTGCATGCAATCCTCAAAGGCTTTGGGCACATCTTGGGGGTTTTTCCCATAGCTGGAGATCCCAGAGCCTGAGGAGCAAGCAGTCAGCACTTCTTAGCATTCCCAGGAACCAACAAGAGCACTACAATTTCGAAATAAACACCAGATCGGCTTTGGGAAGCAGTGGGCTCGAGTGGGGGGGTTGAAAACAGGTGGAGGTGCTAAGTCCCATGTGGTCACACTGAAGTGTCAACTCCCCAAATACAGAAGGAAGGAATTACAAAAGTGAAAACATGAAACAGGATCTGCTTAAGAAAAAGGTCTCATTACGGAAATTTCAAACATCAATAGAAGTAGGGAAGAAGATATAATGGACCCCCTTGTACCCACCTCCCAGCTCTCACAATGATCACCTCTGGTGTCGTCTGTTCTCTCTCCCCACAGAACGAACTGCAGAGATGGTATTATTTCATTCCTTTTTTTTTTTTAATTTTTTTTTTAACGTTTATTTATTTTTGAGACAGAGAGAGACAGAGCATGAACGGGGGAGGGGCAGAGAGAGAGGGAGACACAGAATCGGAAACAGGCTCCAGGCTCTGAGCCAACAGCCCAGAGCCCGACGCGGGGCTCGAACTCACGGACCGTGAGATCGTGACCTGAGCTGAAGTCGGACGCTTAACCGACTGAGCCACCCAGGCGCCCCTCATTTCATTCTTGAAATACTTCACTATGTTTCACTAAAATATACAAATAATTCTTCTTCTTCTTCTTTTTGTTCAGCGATAATCGTATCTGCTTTTTGCCTCTCTAGTCTCCTTTCACACGACCTGCCTTTTGGAAAGTGTACTTGTGTTTTGGTTTGTTTAAAGATTTTATTTAAAAAATTTTTAATGTGTATTTGTTTTTGAGGGAGAGACAGAACATGAGTGGGGGAGGGCCAGAGAGAGAGGGAGACACAGAATCTGAACCAGGGTCCAGGCTCTGAGCTGTCAGCTGTCAAACTCGGGAACAGAGAGATCATGACCTGAGCCAATGTCAGATGCTCAACTGACTGAGCTACCCAGGCGCCCCTAAAGATTTCATTTTTAAGTGATCTCTACATATAACGCAGGGCTCGAACCTACAACTCCACGATCAAGAGTCACATGCTCCACTGACTGAGCCAGCCAGGTGCTCTAGTAAATTCACTTCTTCACAGAATTTCCACCCAATGGGTTTTGAGACACAGTAAAAGGTGGGACAGGAAAAATGAAACAAAAATTCAAATCTATTCCATGTGTTCAAACATGGAGGGAAAAAAGGAATCTTGTCATGATTTATCTTCAGGAAACGTTGTGGCATAACTATATGTAATTTAAGATGTTATCCTAAACATTAAATACGAAAGAATACCAAAAAGTCCACGTTTATCAATGTCAACAAGAAATAATACAGCTAGAGAGACCTATAACTCAAACAAACCCATGACAGGGTTCCTCAGCTTGGTCAGAAATCTCCATGAAGCTGAAATGAACGATCACAGAAAGAATTGAAAGTAGGGTTAGGCAAGAATTCTTTTAAAGCAGCGTGAGCACCTGCCTGCTATTACGCCTGTAGAAACGAACAGAACCAAATTCTAGTTAAGGTGCCTGTTTTCTCCATATTCATCTTTTCCCTCCCTCTCCCCCTCCCCCCACCTCTCTCTTTTTCTCTCCCAGTTTGTTTGAATTAGAGTCCAAATAAATTCCATCCATTCCAGTTGGCTTGTGTGTCTCTTGAGTCTCTCTTTTTTAAAAGATTATTTATTTATTTTGAGAGAGAGAGAGAGAGCGTGCACGCATGCACAAGTGGAGGAGGGGAAGAGAGAGAGAGAGGGAGAGAGAGAGAATCCCAAGCAGGCTCTGCACAGCCAGGGCACAGCCCCATGCAGGGCTCAAACCCTTGAACCCCCAGATCATGACCTGAGCCGCAATCAGACGCTTAACCGACCGAGCTGCCCAGGCGCCCGGACTCTACTTTCAAAATGCCTCTCAAATCTGAGCACTTCCTCCCCTCCCTCCCCAGCACTGTTCTAGATCAGTTTCTGCACGTTGCCACTACCCCCATTTGGGGCCGGACAGTTCTTTGCTGTGGGGCCGTCCTGCGCACTGTGCAATGTTTAGCCGCATCCCTGGCCACCACTAGATGCCAGCAGTATCCCCAACCCCAGTGGGGACAACCAAAAATGTCCCCAGACATTGTTAAATGTTCTCTGGGGAGCAAACTCACCCCACGCTGACAAGTGCAGTCTCGGCCAGACCACCGTCACGTCATAACTTCATGACATCATAACTTCATGACGTCATAATAGCCCTGGTGACCCTGCTTCCAGTCGCAGCCTCTGACTCCATGTCCTACATCCAGAATGCTCCGTGAAATGTAGAGGTCATATCCATGTTAGTCCCCTGACCAGAATCTCCTAGTGGCCTCCCAGTATACTCCGAGGAAACCGCATCTGAGTGCAAGTCAGATGCCTCACTGCAGCTCAGGGCCTCCACGAGCTGGCCTTGACCGAAGTTCTGGCCTCATCTCTCACCTTTTGTCCTCTTATTCATCCTGCCCCAGCCACACTGGCCCCTCTGCCTTTCCTAGAATATGCCGAGCGGCTTCCACCCCTGGCCTTCTCCCTTGCCGGGCCCTCTGTCCAGCACATTCTTCCCTCAAAAATGTGTATGGCTCACACTCTTGCACTTTGCCTCTGTGTAACTGTCCCCTCTTTGTCCTTCCCTGATGATCCTGTCAAAAACAGCCGGACCACTCTCTGTCCGCCTACCTCGCTGCTTTCTCCATACAGCACTTCTCCCTGACATGTTTCATACCCATTTATTTCTGATCTATCGCCTCAATTCGAATGCAAGTTCCACAACAGCACAGACTTTGTATATTTTATTTATCTATTTATTTATCTTTTATTTTTAATTTATTGTTATCTACTTTTTTTAAGTTTTTATGTTTATTTTTGAGAGACAGAGAGTGCGTGAGCAGGGGAGGGGGAGAGAAAGGGAGACACAGAATCAGAAGCAGGCTCCAGGCTCTGAGCTGTCAGCACAGAACCCGACGCGGGGTGCAAACTCATGAACGGTGAGATCATGACTTGAGCCGAAGTTGGATGCTTAACCGACTGAGCCGCCCAGGCGTCCCTATTTTTTATTTACTTTTAAATAAGCTCTGTGCCCAATGTGGGGCTTGAACTCATGACCCCAAGATCAAGAGTCAGATGCTCCACTGACTGAGCCAGCCCGGTGCCCCTGTATATTTCAGTTTGGAATCCCCAGCAAGAACAGTTACCGGCAAACAGTTGGCACTCAATACATATTTATGAGATAAATGAATCAATCAGCCAATGAGATTTTCAAACCAGTATAAAACTCTATACTAAGGGGATCATGCAGTTCAATCTGGATCAGCCAGAGCTGGTCTCTGGAACCTTGCTGGAATGTCAAAACTTGGGGTATCTGAGCATGTCACCTGAGACCTATTTGCATAAGGTCCCATAAGCCTCCTAGAGGGAAGACGGGATTGGGCTCATGGGATCCTGGGATTCACAACCCTAAGAAAGGAGGGTTGGAACTGCTATTCCAATCTGGAGAAAGGCGGCTGGACAGATGACACAAAACTTACTCGAGGATATGTACCCAAGCAAAGGATGCTTTCAAAACTGTAATGGCCAGGTCCCCAGAGCAACTCCTTAAGGCATTTCAGTGGAGGAGATGGCTACACTTAGGCTCCAGTAGAGTTCAAGCCCTGGTTTAAAGGGAACACGTGAATGTCCTTTGTGGGAGGAGATAGCAGCAGGCTTGAGCACCGCACACTGGGAAAGACAGGAGGGGCGTGTAGGGGACCGGTGCCCTCCAGGGAATGGCTTTACGACAAGCAGCCAGAGCTTCAGACACCAGCATGGGGACCAGCAGCTAAGGCAGCACCCGGTGAACTCAGGAAAACAGCGGCAAGTGAGGAGTGATGATACTCACCAGGTCCCTCCTCGCCCACAAGAAAGAAATCTCCAAGAGCCTGGGTATCTGGGAAACACTGCAGGGCAAGCAAGCGTTCACCACCCCCTCAGACTGGCCAAGGCAGGGGAGCCCTGGGAAATTTGCAACTGGGAAACCAGAAACCCAAATTATCCTTGGAGAAGCCACGTGTCTTCAAGGCGATGGCACTTGCCAAACTTCGACTCTGTATTTTGCGATTTAGTTTGTGGTCTTCTGGTCATTTGGAGTATATATATGGATCCCTGAGGCTACTACGATCAAAGGGAAGACTCATTTATGGATATGATGTGGGCTCCATGACCCTGCCCCTCTCCTAAATCACATCCTGGGTGGCCAAGGGCCCCTCCCATGAAGGTCACATCTACCCCTACAGCCAGAAGATCATCAGGACTGACTTGGCTGAATTGCTCTCCGGGTCTAAAGACAGATCTGGACAGACTAACTTCGTGGCAAGAATATCCAGGAGCTCTAAACCGTGCCATGAATAATAACAGCTAACACTTACTAAGTGCTTACCACGTGCATTTGCTACCTGCTTTACACATATCACGTCATTGAATCTTCAAATGATTCCCAGGGGATGGGCGTTACTATTCTCATGCTTCGTATTTTAGAGATGAAGAGGTCAAAACTCAGAGAGGTCAGAAACATCTCAGGAACTCACACAGGAGGGATGAGGTGACGTCTTAACGACTGCCCTACACGACCCTCTCTTTTCTGGAAGTGGCTGGTCTCACCTTTCAAAATGAACATCCTGCTGCCCTCTTTCATGCTTGAAGGGGAGGAGATGGCTCAGAAGTGAGGACGGCAGAGAGGGGATCTCCGGCTGAGCTCCGAGCAAGGCCGTGGCCACCTGTGTCTTGTGGATAACAACGCAATCGGTACTCAGAAAACATCCGAGTGCCCCGTTGTGAGAGAGGCCAGCCAGACGCCCCTTCAAATAAAGGCTTAGGGTCTCCGCTGTCCGCTCCTTCATGGTTTGCCTTAGCTGCAGACAGCTGCCTTGCTCAACGTCTTGCTCTTCCCAGGATGCCGCCATCCAACAACTGAGGGCAACGGGGGTATCTTGGGCCATGCAAGCTAACTGATCGCCCGGAGCTCCGTCAGGCCCATGTGGCAGTATGACTTCTCTTTCTGGCCAGTCCTCCTCCTTCTCCCTTCCCCCCACAGGTATGGATCTCTCACAATTACCTTGCATCCCAAACTCTGTCTCAATATCCGCTCATCGACAACCTAACCTGGACACCTAGGTACCAGGGTAGGTGAGCTCCTGGCTGCCCTCCATTGAAAGGCAGATGATCAGAATTCGCCCTGTTATTCAAAGATCTCTGTTAGTCTCCCTGTGGGAAAGGCTAATTCTGCTTCCCAGCTTTTTCAATGCCATGACCCCAGAGATGATTATCTTTGGGCAGATCATGGAGGCAAATGAAGGAGGCTGCTTGGGGCTGGGGGAAACCGGTCCAGGGTCTCTAACCTGTTGTCCGTGGGCTGAGGGTATACCTCAGTAACACATTCAGGATGTGTTAACATCCTGGTCAGGAAGCTCCAGGCCAAGTCAGAGATCATGATGCTCTGAAGAGGGTGGTTTTTAGAAAGGCACACACATAAGGGATGGATCACTGGGTTCTACTCCTGAAACCAATACTACACTGTGTTTGAATTTAAATAAATAATTTATTTAAACAATAAGTTATTTAAATAAATACATTTAAAAGAATAAAAAGGCACACACAGACACACACACACTAACTGGGGTTGGTTATGTGTGCCAAAGACTTAATTGTGGGGTACTTGAGGCTCAGTCGGTTAAGTGTCTGACTCTGGGTTTCAGCTCAAGTCATGATCTCACGGTTTGTGGGTTCGAGCCCCACACTGGGCTCTGCACTGACAGTGTGGAGCCTGCTCAGGATTCTCTGTCTCCCTCTCTCTCTGCCCCTCCCCCCACTCGTTCTCTCTTTCTCCCCCCCCTTCTCAAAAATAAATAAACCTTAAATATAAAAGACAAGATTATAAAACTTTCACTGAAGGATATCTTTATGATCTCAGGCTAAAGGATTTCTTAAATACACAAGAGCAAAACCATAAAAGAGAAGACTGATAATTGTGCCTACATAAAAAGAACTCCTGTTCACCAAAAGACACAATGAAGAGACTTAAAAAGACAAATCATTAGCTGTGAGGAAATATGAGAACAACATAATAATAATGCTAGCTGGGCACTCATATTCACAATATGTATAAAGAACTCCGGGGGCGCCTGGGTGGCTCAGTCGGTTAAGTGACCGACTTTAGCTCAGGTCATGGTCTCACGGTTCATGGCTTCGAGCCCCATGACGGGCTCTGTGCTGACAGCTCGGAGCCCGGATCCTGCTTCGGATTCTGTGTCTCCCTTTCTCTACACCCCTCCCCCACTCATGCTGTGTCTCTCTCAAAATAAATAAACATTAAAAAAAAAAAAAAAGAACCCCAATGAGTCAATGAGAAAAAGTCAAGAATAGGAATTTCACAAAACCAGAAATGATCATGTGACATATAAATATACAATACATAAGCATATTTATAACTTATAATGTTATAAGTAAATTAAAATATAAATATACTCAACCTTATCTCTTCCATAATCATGGAAACACAAATGCCCATCAACAGGGAAGAACGTATGAGCTTCCTCTCCTCCCTATTAACACACATGGATCTTAAAAACCCAACGTCCGTAAACGAAGCAAATTACAGAATAAATGTTGACTCCATTTATGTGTATACATGTTTGATCCCACTTTCAAAAACAGGAAAAACTAAACGCATAGGGATGAAACTGTAGGAAGGACAAAGGAAACAGTGAATGTAAAATTCAGGCTATGTTGTGGAGGGTCATTAAAGATGCCGAGAATGTTCTGTCTCAAGGGTGGGCATCTCTCAGGCCAAATCCAGTTCATCACCTTTTTTTTTTGTACAGCCCGTGGGCTAAGACCGTTTTTACAATTTTAAATACTAGGGAAAAAATTAAAAGAATATGTTGTGACGCTTGAAAATTATATGAAATTCAAAATTTCAGGGTCTATAAATCAAGCTTTACTGGACCCGAGCCATGGCCGTCTGGTTATGCCTTGTCCATCTATCTCTACCACCGCCAATCCCCACCCTGACATATACAGCCAATTAGAATACAATTCCCCTGCTGGAATACAATTTTCCACGACTCCCTCATGTTTCTGCATGTCCTACGAGCAGAAGCCCCGACTGCCTTTGCTCCGGATTATACTTTCAAGGCTCAGAAGATAGAGACAGTGTTTCTCCCCAGATCAAAAGGCAGGCATTATAAAATGTCTCAGATTCCCTAATCTCGGGGTTCCTCTTCTGTAATCCGACCCACCGTGCGAGCAGATACTATCTGGCCCTCCTTACATCACCTGGTGCAAAGTGAAACTCAGAGAACCAGCACAAGAAAATGCTGATACTCTGCCTACCGCTAGTACTGTGAGTAAGAAACCATCCTTTGTTCTGACCCAGGAGACTTGTGCCTTCCGTCAGCATTCAAGCAAATGTGGCAGGGTAAAATCTCACACCACGCACCGCCATGTTTTAGACATGAGAAAACTGAAGCCCAGGGGAAGGGGGTGACTGGCCCAAGGTCACTGCATGGATGGGGAGTGCCACTACCATTGGATGCCATATGTTCCTGATGCCCAGTGCAGGGCTCATTCCTGCCTCCAGGCAGCTTCTTGGGATCCCTCCAGGCCTCTCAAGGCCCTTAGGACTCTCCCTTGCTTCCCTTTGGGCCTCCTGCACACAGTCCGGGCCTTACCTTTCACACTACACTTGAAGGTTTGACTGACCACTCCGGTATCATTCTCCTTCTCCGCTGGCCACTGATAGACGTAGACGGTGGTTCTGGAAGACCCGGCATCGAGCACGATTCCGTACTGAACGAAAGGGGGAAGGGAGAGTCAGAAATGGGCTGGGCCTCTCTGAGGACTCTTTTCCGACGGGCCACCGAGAACCCCGAATACTCTCCAGAGGGTGATCCACACTGCTTCATTTGGGGAGGGGCTGACCAAGGGGAAAAACCGAGTTTCTCCAAACCAACTTTGTCTCCTTGGGCTGTGGGGGAAGGGGATGGGGGTGGGGTGGGTCAGGTGTTCTAGGGCATGGTTCTCACTCTTGGCCCACATTAGAATCACTTGGGGAGTTTTGGAAACTCCCAGGGTCAAGGCCACATCCCAGACCCATTAAATCAGAATCTCCGGGAGTGGACCCAGGCATCCGCAGTTTCTAAAGCTCCCTTGGTGATTCCAATAGGCAGCCAAGGTTGAAAATTAATACTCCGAGGATCTTACTTGTTCCCTGATTCTTCCTCTTCCAGACCTCTGAGGTGGGGGGACAGAAGCCACCTGGGCCTCAGGAGGGAAATGAAAATATTCAGTCGCCTGCTGCCCTCTGTTCTTCAAACTTCCAGGCCAATAAGCCTGAAGTAAATATAGGAAATTCTCACAAGGGTGACACACGTCAATACCTGCACTGGCCTGCAGAATGAAGGTATTCATAATTCAGGAGAAAAACCCCAAAATGCCAACTAACGTTGACATACTGTCCCCCTTTGGTAACACGGTACATGGACAGACAGGGGGGTCTGCCAGAGCAGTGTCAGGACTAGCTGTGCACAGGAGAGCAGGCTAGGAGTCCTGGACCATGTCCCCACCTTGAGGCAGGCACCAGGAAGCTTCCTCCCCTGAGGGTGTGGCCCGGCCCAGGCCCTGGACCAAGCCTGAGCAGGAAAGGGCATGCGTTAGCAGCCTACGGGGATTGGAATGAGTAATGCTGACCTAGGTCAGTATGTGCGTGGGCCCGGAGTCAGCCCAGGGCAGTGGAGGCTTCTGGAGCTTTTCTCCAATTCCACTGTTGTTGGGTTAAGCTAGCTGGTCTCAGGGAGGAAGATGGATTTGGGTTCTGGAAGCAGGTCGAACTCAGACGGATGCTTGCTTGCTTTGCGACCCTAGGTAGCAAGAGGCCTAACGTCTCTGGGTTTCCTCATGTACAGACAACTTAACTTGCAGAAGTAAACAGACCCTATGCCTAACACTCGTGGCTGCTCAATAAACACAGGTGATATGGAAAGATCAACAAAGCAAAATAAACAAAACCACAAAGACCAGAGGAAAGAGAAGTAAATAACGCCCCTCAAATCCCACTATTGTTATAACACCTTGCTATACATCTTTTCTAATGGCCGCCTGTGCATACAGCTACATATATGAAAATGCGGTCAGACATATGTTTTCAATTCAACCCAGGATTATACTGTACGTAGACTTTTCCAACGCTCTGTTCTTACGTAAAAAGTATATCATGTACATCTCTCGCCGCCAATAAAAATACTGATATCGCTTTCAATACATTCCCCACCTCTTCCGTGAGATGTACAATAATCCATTTAACCAATTCCCTGATGCTAGCCATTTGGGAGGGCTCCAGCTTTCTACTATCAACAAATGCTTGTTTCATTTGAAACAAGGGGACCGAATAAAAACGGGTGGCCCTAGCTCCTCAATCGCAGCTTTCCCATTATATTGACACGGAACATCCTGCGTCCGTCGGTATTTGAACTTAGACACCCACCTAATCTCAGCCTTCAGTCTGACGAATGCTGACGGGGATCCTGACATGACACCCCCCGGGGGAACAAGGAAGGCATTGTTCACAGCCTGCTCACCGGGAGATTAACGCACAGGTGGCACTGAAGGAAACCGGGCACTCAAGCGATCTGAGCCTCCCTACCAGTCCGCTTTCTCTCCTCCCTCCTGCTGCCAACCCCCCACCAGCCCAGCACCCGCCCCTGGCCCCTCCACACCGGGTCCTGACTACAGGAGGGAGCACACGTGAGCAACCACTCCGCAGGGTTCCCACCCTTCCCAGATCTTCTGGATCCCAGCTCTTCACAAAGAGTCCGTTTTCCCTGTGAAGGAGGCTTGGGGCTGCTGTGCCAAGCTCAGGAAGGAGGAAGAAGGGCCATTTTCACGTTCATCGTCATCCCAGCTGGCATCCAATTTTCACCAAGGTGGGAGCAGCTGGCCCTCCCCTCGGGCACCTGCCTGATGTGCTGACAGGGACCAGTCCTGAGCCCGGGGCTACTCCTGAGGACTAGGTATCCACCCCACCACTGTTCGCTGACGTTTTCCAAAGTGGAAAAGTTGGTCTTTCGAGAGCTCCCTTACCTAAATCAGTGGAACTCAATGTGTTTTGATGGAGTGGGTGGGATGGGGACTGATTTCATTCAGTTCAGCTGGGCAGTGAGTAACCCCCTGTCCAACACGGTGTCAGAAAAGAACGTGGCTTGAATGTAGAACTGAAGACACACTCAGTGGGTTAACCAAAAGGAAACAGTCTTCCGTGAGAACCCCATGATCCAAAACTTAAGGGATGTGTGAGCTTCTAACAAAAGCAAAAGTCGTAAGAACAGTTTTCTTAGATTTGTTATTAGCACTGTCATCATCATCCATCATCATCCCTCTTGGCATAATAAGAGGGATCCTAGCAGTAATACACATTTGTGGAGCACTTCTAATATGCCAGGCATTGCCCAAAGTGCTTTCGTGTTGCATCTACAGGGCAGGTGTGGTCATCCTTCCTGCTTGACATATGGGGAAACTGAGGCTCACAGAGGTAAATCATTGCCCACAGTCACAGACTTGGGTCCGAGCTTGGTTCTAACTGGCCATCAGACCTCTACACACAGCCCCCATGCTTTCACTGAGTTCCAAGGAAACCAGGTCTAACAGGGTTGACTGTTTAGTAATGAGGTGCCTAGGGTGCCTCGGTAGTGAGTCGGTCGAGCACCCAATTTTGTCCCAGGTCCTGATCTCACAGTCTGTGAGTTCGGGCGCCGCATTGGACTCTCTGCCGTCAGCTCGGAGCCTGCTTCAGATCCTCTTCCCCCCACCCCCCCACTCTCTGCCCCTCTCCCACTCACATGCACACACTCTCTCTCTCTGTCTCTCAAAAAAAAAAAAAAAAAAAAGATGCCTGGTGCATAGAGCAGACTTTCTTTGTTCAGACAAAAAGTCCCTCAAAAGCAAGCTTGTAGCTAAGTAGTATGCAGATCTGACTACAGAGGAGGTGGACCAATGTGATGAAGAAGTCACATCTGTCTGGAAAGGAAGAAACTAATTATCCAACTTTTGCTCTCTAAGGGGTAACCAGGGAGGGCCACAAGGCACCCGAGATCCCGGCTGATGACTGATAACCAATGAGGGTTACAAGGGAATGTTTTTTTGTTTGTTTGTTTTTGAGAGAGAGACCGAGAATGCAAGTGGTGAAGGACAGAGAGAGAGGGAGAGAGAGAATCCCAAGCGGATTATGCACTGTCAGCACAGAGCCCAAGGCGGGGCTTACACCCACGCAGCATGAGATCGTGACCTGAGCCAAAATCAAGAGTCGGACGCTTAACCGACTGAGTCACACAGGTGTCCCTACAAAGGAATGGTTTTAGCACAGCCTGGTCTTGTGGTTGTGCTTTGAAGAATAACGGCCAAGCACGGGAGTGTGACTCAATACGGGGATCTCATGTGACCTGAGCGGGACTACGTAGGCCCCTCTTGGACACTGATGTCCTGTGGCTGCAAGGGGCAGTGGCAATGGGGTACTGATCATACTGGACTGAGAAACTCCAGGGCTTCTAGACAGTTGTGATTGGGGCTGGGGAGGGAGAAGTCTCGAGAGGAAGAGATTGGACTTCATGAGAAGGAAGCAGGTGGGGGGCTGAGTGAAAAATAGAAATGATGCCACCATGTTTACTCTTCAGGCTGGTGGAGCAGGTTGGACCAGCAACAACGAAAATGGCACTGGGGACGCGTTGACCCTTGACTGAGTTTTGATAGTTCTGCTCTTAAACTCCGATAGACCAAGGTTAGGTAAGCCAAGGTTGCATGTAATAGCCAGCTATCATGACCTTTCATTAGGGTCTTAAGGAAAATTCCAGCCCACCCCCACCCCCCACAGGCCATTGTGGAGCCGGCTCTCGTAACCAACTGTCATCTTTACACAGAGGCAAAACAACGTTCAAGGTTATGAAAACACAAACATAACAATGTAAAAGCCCTTGAATTCATTCAGCTTCACTTCCACAACTGCCCTTCCCACCCCTGGCACACACCGAAGAGCCAAACACAAGAGGCTTGTCCTCAACCTGAGAAGGGCTGCAGGTGGAATGTTCTTTCAAGTGGCCGTTCTGCTCCCGGTACCCCTGGCTCAGAACATCTGTCTTTTCTCACATTTAATCCACCCAGCTAAGCAGAATGAGTCCTCTGAGTCAACATTTCAAGGTTATACAACTTCTTGTCCCCTGCAACTGTGACTGGGGCCTGGCAGCGCGATTCTGAGCAGATTACAGATCCCCTCTTTGAACGAACTGTCTGCTAATTGGTGAGCGTGGTTCTTCTGGTCCTTCTAAACGCTCGTTCGAGGCCCTGTTTTCTGTTCTCTTTTGTTTCTTAGGTCCCACGTCTGCTATTTCCAGTGTGTGCAACTGTGAGAAGCGATCCACCCTTTCCGCTCCTCCGTTCTCACCCGTGAGTAATCATATCCACGTGGAATAGTCATGGAGGGTTCCCTGCCCACACTCCTCAGGCCTTACCGCTGTGCTGTCCAACCATGCGCTTTCCACGCGTCTAAAGGCTTTCTCTAGTGGCCGAGCCCACCTGAGCAGGCAGCGTGCCAGAAATACGAGGGGGTTAGCGTCTCCCAGGGAGCAGCCACTCTGCCAATGACTAGTGGAAGCTGGTGGTGTAAGTATGTCCTTGAGTGGGATACCTGTGAAGCAGGTGTTCCAGATGCCCTTCGGTAGAGGACTCACCTGGGGATGAGTTTTACACTGGCTCCCAGACTGAGAGTCCTCCCCAGGACTGAGCCCCCACTGCCCACAGTGGTAACCTGCTGGGTGGCAGGCCCTCCAGGGGCTGCCTTCCCTCCTGTCTCACCTCCCACCCCCCTACCTCTGTTTCCTCGGGTCATTCCCAGATGTCCTGCTTTTACTCACATCTTTGATCAGGGGAACCCACCTGACCCAGGAGCCTGAGACATGTGTGGTCCTCTCTTTCAATGGTAGCCTCCTTACTGCCCTGGGGTCTACTTTTCTCTACTCAGTTTACTCCTCTAGTCTTCTAATCCCTCCACGCCCCTCCAGTATGAACAGAGGACTTACCTCTTACCTCCTAGAACAAGTGGAAGCTAGCGGCTGTCAACTGCCTTAACCAACCCATCCCAAACTTCTGCATGGCCTGAGGGAAAATTTCTTAAATGAAGACTTTTACTCTCCCTCCAAACCTCCACCCGTCCTCACCCCACACCCCTGGCCAATCCACAGAGCAAAGAGCCTCACGCACCTGTATGCTGACTATAGAAGGTGGGACAGCTCCGACCCCATATCCACGCTCTATCTACACTTCCTGCAAATGGCTGCCCCTTTGCCACCCCTCAGATCACTGGTGAGGTCGGTCCTCAGGAGGGGGTCCACACAGACCCTGGCTTCTGGAGTCTCAGGCACCACAGCACATTCTAGAAGGGGATGCATGACTCTGGGTGGGCACATTCCCTTGCGCCATGGAGAGAGATAAACCTGGAATACAGCTAGAGCTGGTTCCTCTGAAATATGGGGTGTAAGAGTGGTTCCTGGGGTTTAAGAGTGGCATTAGTCTTGCCCCCAATTGGGGGGTACTTCCATCCCCCCGTTCAGCAAGCCTTCCTGCATCTGCGCCCACCCTCCCCCACCCATCCCTCCTGTGCAAAGGAGGATAAGTTCTCTAGTCAAGGTCAGTACCTCTTCCTGGGTCCCTCATTCTGAACTTAGGATCAGGGAGAGGAGGGAGGTAGTGAAGAAAGCCCTGGCCTTGGGAACAGGAAGGACAAGGTTTCAGTTCCCGTCCTGCCATCCACTGGCCAAACCCATGGTTCCTCACTTGCAAAGTGGGGGTGACAATGCTTGCTTTGTCCCCCTGCTATCGCTGCCGCAAGGGTTACATGAGATAATTCAGGGAAAAGTGCTCACCAACCTGAAAAGTTTACAAAGCATAAGGAGACGGTGATTCTCCTGGTTGCAATCCTGATTTTATGCAGTTTAGAGAAGAAGACAGTGCCCAGAGGTTGGGAAAATGGCTTCTCTTGGCCTTGGCTATTGTCTTTAGACAACCAGATAATTTGTTTTTCTCTCGTCACTGGACAGTTGCATAAGGTTTTTGTTTTTTTTTTTTTCTTCATGTTATTCATGGGGGCCTGAGATTTTTTTAAGTTTATTTATTTTGAGAGAGAGAGAGAGAGAGAATGAGCAGGGGAGAGGCAGAGAGAATCCCAAGCAGGCTTCATGCTGTCAGCACAGAGCCCAACTCGGGGCTTGATCTCATGAACCGAGAGATCATGACCTGAGCTGAAATCAAGAGTCGGGTGCTTAACCGACTGAGCCACCCAGGCGCCCCTGGAGTGGGGGGGGGGGGGGGGGGGGGGAGGCTGAGATTCTTAAATAAAATGTCTTATAAAAGAACCAAATGCCATCATCTAAAGGAGTTTTACTTTAATCCTTCAGAAGAGCAGCATCAGAATGGTGGGTCTAACTCACCCACACAGCCAAGGCAATATTAGTTTCTTTTTTATCTTGTAAAATTAAAAAAAAACTTCTATTTCAAATACAGCCTTTGAATAGTCACTAAGAGCAGGAAGATGTAGACAGGATTCTTGAGATCAAGGGTAAAGGCTAAATGAGGTTCAAATAACGGTTGGTTTTCTTGGCTCCTATGGCCCTATAGCTAAGAAGGGTTTGTACATTTTTAAACAGTCATAGGAGACAAACAAACAAACAAAAGATACGTGACAGAGACTATAATGACCTTTAAAGTCTAAATATGTAGTACTTAGCTCTTTACAGAAAAATTTTGCCAACCTCTACCCAAAATGACTGAAGGACTCTTTTCCCCTTCGTCTGACAGTCTTGCACAGGATCACCTCCCAACACCCTTACATCCAAGGCTGGGGTGATATACATGGTTCTCAGACTGTCAGACATCATTTGAGAGGTCATTTGGGCACTTATCAAAAGGGCTAAGAGTAGCCTCTGAAACTGAGCACGGGTCCTGAGTAATTTTTCAAGGGGAAGAGTCAGAGGGATCATGGCACTTTTAGACTCAAGAGAGGTTGCACAAATACAGCTCAAGGGGACCTTTTCAAGTCATTGATGTCTTGTTTACCAGGTCAGGCCAGAAGAGGAGGCTGGGTCTCCCTGTCTTCACTCATGGTCAGGGTTGTGTGGTCTTGGGAAATGTACAAGCTGCTAGATCTCTGGCAGCCTTCTGGAATCCTTGGCTATAAGGTCTAGCTTGGGCTCCAACAGTCAGGAGTCAAAGCAAGGCCACACGGTCCTTGGAGAAGGGTCACCATTATCAATCTGTAGTGTCAAACAGCACAAAGCCGGTATGTCCAGAGCTTCTCCCCTGGGTCTTATGTCAAGGATCCTTGGGTTCTTCCTTGGGTCTTCCCCCACTGGAGATGGGGTAAAGGGTTTTCTTCTAACTCATGGCCTTAGAATACCTGAAGTCATAGCCCATCCCTTCAGTGCCAATCCCTTCACACTTACCTTCAGTCCTGGAAGGAGGACCTCTTTCTGGTGAAACTGGATGAGTGTGATGGTCACAAGCACCACAACACTCAAAATCAAGACCACCAAGGCGATGATGGCTGGGGTTCGGGAGAGGGCCTTGAGGCCTAAAATGGAAAGACCCAGAAGACACATGAGGGGAAAGTAGGAACAAGGCACTGGCCTTCTTTGTAGAATCCAAGGACTGGGTGCACGACTGCATGCCTACAGCACTTCCTCTGGCTTTAGTAAGGCCAAGACTTTTTAAGGCGGAGGAGTGATTGGGCTCCAAAGCCCATTTATCTTTTCTCCAGAGAGGGAACTAAAACGCTATTTGCAGAGAAGGGGTGTGTGGTTTAGTTTCCTGGTATCTCCTGAAACGTGTTATGCATATTATCGGTCAGCCCTGAGATGATTTATGATAACATTTACTTCAATGTAGATGAAAAAATATGGGTTTTCTATTAATGCCAGCGGTATAATATTTCATTTAAAAATAACATCAGACAAAGAGAAATGAATACTACGCTTCAGATATAGTCAATGATTATCAGGCTCAGTACTCAGTGACATACTGTCAAGGAAACAGTAACATGTATGAATTTCTGAAATATTTGAGTTTCCAGTAAGACGTCAACCTCAGCCATTTTTCCTGTGTCTGCAGTGAAGGTATAGGGTCTCCCCTACATTCACAAACAAAGAATCACTAGACCCACGTGTTTACTCCCAAAGGGGTCATGTCATCTCTGGTACTCGTAATTCAATCACAACATGGAAACTATACTCATTTAAAAGCAAAACAAAACAAAACAAAACAAAACAAAAAGAAGCAGCATATGAATCATCTTCATCTAAATACATAGCCTCTGAATAAAGATAATTATATCTGTATTGTATAAAGGTACATGATTACCATAATGGACTGATGATTAACTAATATTGCTTAACTAGATCACTTAAAAAATGTTTTTAATGCTTTATTTGTTTTTGAGGCAGATCGTGAGCTGGGCAGGGGCAGAGAGAGGGGGGAGACACAGAACCCAAAGCCAGCTCCAGCACAGAGCCTGACGCGGGGCTCGAACCCACAAACCATGAGATCATGACCTGAGCTGAAATTGGATGCTTAACCAACTGAGCCAACCAGGCGCCCCACTTAACTAGATCATGTTGAGCACATATTTACTTGGGTCGTAAGAAACCAGTAGGGGCTAATGGAAATTTCATAAATGCAGTAGCAACAGATTTTTTTTTTTTTTTTAAAGAAAGAAACAAATACTGTTCTGTACCGAAATGATTCCATTCACGTGAAGTTCTAAAACAGGCAGGTGACTAAGATGAGAACAGTGACAGTCCAGAGGGCTGGGGCAGGGGTTCCCCGGGAAGGAACACAGAAGCACGGTCTGGGGTAATAGAAATGCCCCATATCTTCACAGAATTGTGGAGTATATGGGTGCGTGCTTTTGTCAAAATTCATCAAAACTTTCAAAGTCCTTTGAGGAAAATGTGAAAATTAAAGTAACCAGCTCCACACTTTACACACTGTATGTTAGCCAATTTGACAATAAGTTATATTAAATAAATAAGTAAGTAAGTAAGTAAGTAAGTAAGTAAACCCTTCTGGGGGGAAATTTAAAAAAAAAAAGGTTTAAGAAAAATAAAAGACTGACAGAATTCCCCAGGGCAGAAAACAAACAAACAAACAAACAAACAAATAAATAAAGTAAACCACTCCTTAGGTATAATTTCCCTTAAAAAATTTTTTTTTTCAATAAATTGCCCCATCCTGGGGTGCCTGGGAGGCTCAATCGGTTTGATTCTTCATTTTGGCTCAGGTCATGATCTCACGGTTCATGGGTTCGAACCCTGCGTCAGGCTCTGTGCTGACAATGTGGAGTCTGCTTGGGATTCTCTCTCTCTCTCTCTCTCTCTCTCTCTCTCTCTCTCTCCCCCCTCCCCTGCTCGTGTTCTTTCTCTCTCTCAAAATAAATAAATAAACATGACAAAAATTAAAAAAAGAAATTGTCCCATCCTAAAAACATCCCCTTTTGGAAGACAAGGGTACCCAATTTAGGGGCACAACTTAAGATCTATCCATTTCACTGTATATAAATTATACTTAATTTTTTTTAAACATAAAAAGGCATTCAATTAAAATATTGACCTGGGGATGCAAGCTGGTACAGCCACTCTGGAAAACAGTATGGAGGTTCCTCAAAAAATTAAAAAAAGAACTACCCTACGACCCAGCAATTGCACTACTAGGCATTTATCCAAGGGATACAGGCGTGCTGTTTTGAAGGGACACATGCACCCCCATGTTTACAGCAGCACTATCCACAATAGCCAAAGTATGGAAAGAGCCCAAATGTCCATTGATGGATGAATGGAGAAAGAAGATGTGGTATATATATACAATGGAGTATTACTGGGCAATCAAAAAGAATGAAATCTTGCCATTTGCAACCACGTGGATGGAACTAGAGGGTATTATGCTAAGTAAAATCGGTCAGTCAGAGAAAGGCAAATATCATGTAACTTCGCTCATATGAGGACTTTAAGATGCAAAACAGATGAACATATCGGAAGTGAAGCAAAAATCATTTAAAACAGGGAGGGGAACAAAACATAAGAGACTCTTCAATATGGAGAACAAACAGAGGGCTACTGGAGGGGTTGTGGGAGGGGGGATGGGCTAAATGGGTCAGGGACATTAAGGAATCCACTCCTGAAATCATTGTTGCTCTATATGCTAACTAATTTGGATGTAAATTAAAAAAAATAAAATTAAAAAAAATATTCACTAAATAATAGTCTTGGTAAAACTATTACATAAATGTAAATGGTGATACCCAATTGGTTTTGGGGGTAGAGTCCCATGATTCATCGCTACATACAACACCCAGTGCTTATCCCAACAAGTGCCCTCCTCAATGCCCATCCCCCATTTTCCCCTTTCCCTGACCCCCCATCAACCCTCAGTTTGTTCTCTGCATTTAAGAATCTCTTATGGTTTGCCTCCCTCCCTCTCTGTTTGTAACTATTTTTACCCCTTCCCATCCCCCGTGGTCTTCTGTTAAGTTTCTCAAGTTCCCCACGAGTGAAAATATACGGTATCTGTCGTTCTCTGACTGACTTATTGCACTTAGCATAACACCGTCCAGTTGCATCCATGTTGTTGCAAATGGCCAGATTTCATTCTTTCTCATTGCCAAGCAGTATTCCATTGTATATATAAACCACATCTTCTTTATCCACCCATGTGTTGATAGACATTTGGGCTCTTCCTGTAATCTGGCTATTGTTGAAAGTGCTGCTGTAAACATCACCAATTGGGCATTTAAACGTAGATGAATTAATCGGGGCACCTGGGTGGCTCAGTCGGTTAAGCATCCAGCTTTGGTTCACGTCATGATCTCACGGTTCCTGGGTTCGAGCCTCGTGTGGAGCTCTGTGCTGACAGCTGGAGGCTGCTTCGGATTCTGTGTCTCCCTCTCTCTCTGCCCCTCCCCTGTCCGTGCTCTGTCTCTCAAAAATAAATAACCATTAAAAAGAATAAATGTAGACGAATTAAAATAAAATTAAAAACTCAGTTCCTCTGTCTCACTAGCTACATTTCAAGTGTTCTATAGCCACGTGTGTTCCTATTCTAGAACATTTACTTTTAGATCATATAACCTAGGCTTTGCTTCTTCGTTGTTTCTAGGAGACATTTTTCTGGAAAGAAAAAAGGGCATGTGTATAAAACTGTATAGAATTAGGTTCAGTCTCCATATCCGATTATATCACAGTACTGAGTAGCTGGCAAGGCCAGTCACGTAGTGCGTCTCTGTAGCTCAGAACAGCCAACTCTTCTCGCCCATTCTGATTTCCCTGAGGTACAGACACTTCCTTTTACTAAAGATGGTCACCCAACACCCTAATTCTCCTACCTTGTCACTGGGCGTGTAAACCCGCACACCATCAATGGAGAGTGGTTTGTCAATGTTTATCAAAGTTCCAAAGGTGTGTGCCATCTGACTTGCAATCCCACTTCTGGGAATTTATGCCACGGAACTAGCCCCGTGTATGCAAAACGACTTATACCTAAAGTTACTCACTGCAGAATTGTATGTGACAGCAACTGGAGGGAGGCCAGCCACTGTGAAGTTGACCTTCAGAGCCTCTCAATGGGTCCCAGATCAGTTTTCTGTGATTCCAGATAAAAGTACGTGAACTAGCCAGAAACCAGTTTATCCGCAGACATAAGAGTCTGCATCAACATTTAAAGAATATGTCACATGTCAGTGTCAGTTTTACAGGTTTAAGGCACTTTCCGCCCCCCTAACAAGACACGGGAGAACTTTAATTTGCTAAATTAAACAGTGTAACAAGTTAGCTTGATGTGTGGTGTTACAGTATATGTGTTAAAATTTCAAAGCATTTTGGGGGAAAACCTGGAAATCAAAGTAAACTAGCTCTTTAGGTACAATTTCCTTCTACAGAAAAAGACTTGTATAAAGTGCTTCTACTATCCTAAAATCATACCCTTTTGGAAGACAAGAATGCCCAGTCTCGGGACACAACTAAGGATTATCTGTCCAGGGCAGGGAGGGGGGTGATACGTGAGCAGTGGCTGACCACACTGGACTCCCCAGTCCTTCGCCTCAGCAGTTTTCAGGTAAAAAGCTGTGATTACCCTTAAGCAGACCTTTGCCCCAGCAGAAAAGCGTATCACAAAGCAAAATGGGCCAGACCAGGTCTCATTCATTTAGGGGATACAGCCCAGAGCTGTGCTGTCATTAGGAGTGAACAAACCCCGTAATTACAAGGTGTCTACCTGGGAGTAGGGAGGCCAGACCCTTCTGGGCTTCTACACGAACAACCGCAAAACATACTCCAGAGGCGGGCAGGCAGGGCAAGCTTGGAAGCGGGTGTGTGAGAGTTCTGCACATGTGCCTCCGGTGTAAGGGGTAACAACGCTGACCTGGGGTGGGGTGGGGAGCGCCGGGTGCCGTAGGTGCTGTGCCAGCAGCAACACTTGGGTGGAAGCAGAGGACTGATCTGAGGACCTCGCAACTCATCACAAAATCAACAATACTCTGAGGCAAACCTTCACACACAGGTTGGTAAGGGAAACCACAAAGGGCCAAATTAGTGGATTATGCAACCCGGAAACACCATTTGAGCAAAACATGCACGTTATGTTAGTCCTCGTTTTGTGTAACTTTGATGGAAAGCCTTACTTCTACCTGAGGCATGCCTGGTGGTGAAAGCCTGGCGAGCAACTGAGGCTCGAACCAAAGACCTTAAAGTCACTGGCAGCGGACAGGCGTTAAAACACTGGGGGCTGAAGCGGGGATTGTGCCTTGTCAATATCACACTCGCTGCCTGTTCGGAGATACTAACCTGCTTGCTCACAGGGTTGGCGGGTCAGCAGAGTGAACATCTTTCCTCCCAACTGTAGGTGAGAGAACACAGAATGACAGTGTGTCCGTGGACCCTGACTTCAGTTCCCCAAACGTGCAGTGTTAAACCCAATTTGGGGGCGCCACTAAAGAACATCTGTCCCGGGGGGCGGGAGGG